ACTGCAGAAAACTAAAGCTGACGTTCGATCACAGCGTTTGACGGCTCCGAAAATTGTCGAGATAAATCTTCGCTATTATTTCCTGCTTTTTGTATTTCTAGATTTCGGCGATTCTTGTCGTCCTCATTACCCGTTGTCGAATGTGGTTTATTTTCTGCTTTTATGTTCCTCACCTTGTCTGTTGGTCGTGGCTCGACTTTTGTGAATTTCGCACTGTTTTAGTAGAAAATTCGGAACATCCTTGCCTTTCCGGGCGATTTCTGGTGGTTTTCGGTGGTCGAACTGCCAACAGCATTAGGCTCTACGGGCATCATTTACTGTGGCTTAGAGTGTCCGGATGCGGTTTTGGACGTGGGCAGATCTGGCGGCGGAAATCGAGAGATCCGTGAAAATTTTGATTCTGTCTCGGTGGGTTGGTGACATGTTCGATATGGGTGAAATTTGAAGTTCTTCGACAATAATCTAGTAGATAATACAAGGTTTCCAGTAGCAATTTTCTTTGGAAGCAATTATCTGGAAGATCTCTCTAGAATAAGAAGTGGATCTTATTTGTGGAAGGGCGAAATGGGCGGTGACTATTAGACGCCTTCATTATAGCCATCTTTCTCTATCGCACGGATTTCTATGACTTTCTTTATCACTCTCATGTAACGGCTGATGAACCATGGGATTTTCCGACCCTGTATATACAACATTTATTAATGATTGCCTCCTCCTTCAAAACCTTTTAAATAAGGGCACTACAATAGTCTTTTAGTGTATTTTCGAAATTAACGAAGCGCACTCGGAATTACCCCTAAATAATATTACACTTTTACAAACCAATCCGGTCTCAAAATAAACTTTTTAATAAGCTAATCATAATGAATTAATAACGCCAGTTCTTAATGAAAGTTATTTTTAGTAAATGAGAACGGAATAAAGAAATTAATTAGCATAAAGCTTTGTTATTGGGTTACGTTTATTCAGCTCGAACCTGAGGGGGTTCTCACAATGCCGGAGTGATATAAAACTGACATTTAAATTATTTAGAATGCCAGTCGTCCTTGAAGGAAATATCGACATATGTCTACGCTCTTCTTCCGCTGTTCCTTCTGGGAAATATACGGAACGTAACGAACCATTCATAAAATATAAGATCTCCAACGCCTATTTATCACTTAAAAAGTATCCAGTTTAATATGAACTGACACTTTTATTGTGCCGAAGGAAATAGGTTATTTGGAGGATAGAATGTTGTTATCTCGGAATGAAAATAATAATTATTTCACTAATTATAAAAATATTTTATAATTTGCCATTAAATAATTGATATATCCACAGATTGTTTTGTCTGTTTACTTTTATGTATTTGTGTTAGGCTATTTTTTATTAGATTTACACAGTATTGTCGTATCACCACTTTTCCACTGGGTCTTTCCATCTTGGCCTTGTCTCCCTCTGTCTAGCTTAGTCCTAGACCTGGTTCTGTTATTTTGCTTATAATTCGACACTATTTCGAGATCGCAATGGCACCCACCATGTTTGGTAGAACGGCTTTCAACTGAGCCGTTTTCTACTGAAATGTTTTAGGATCTGAATCTTAAAATTCATGAGCACTTTTTTGCTATTTGGCTAGTTTTTTTTTACTATTTTTGTATCAATTTCTGTTCTTATGCCATTTTGGCACTTGACTTTATCCTGTAGGTTCTTCGTCAGAGGCACAGGAAGTCCTAAACTGAGCACTCGCAGGAAATTCCTAACAGTGTTTTGAATTGCAAAAAGTTTATTTTTGTAAATGTTTACAATTTGTAGTTGTCACAAGGGCTGCATTATACAATGCAACTATGCGATTAAAGTTCTACAAATTCGGGGAAAATTTTGATTGATTTTTCAGGTTTTTTTGACCTGTCGTGTGAAACCCTCAATAGAGCCTTGGCCCTTATTTTCTATTCTGTAGGCAAGGACAGCCTCAAGTCAACGAATGCGCTTCATTTTGTGTCCTGCACTTACACCGGCCAGAAACTTCCGCTCTGGTTATTTAACTGCAAGGTCCTAGAGTTGACGTTCGATCACAAGTCGGGGTGACTCAGCAAATTTTCAATGGGTGTAGTTCGGTTTGAATCCTGATATCTCTGGATTCAGGCGATTTATGGCTATTGACATTGTCGTAGTTATTCTAAATTTATCTGATACAACTCTGCATATTCTCCCAGATTGAATTTCGTAGCAGTCCTAGCGTTTTCGCGGAAAAGATCGTACCTGAGTTGAAATTTTGCTCTGCGAACAGTATGGGGCTTTCGGAGGTTGAAAACTGGTAAACGGGTAAAAATTTCGGCTTCTTAGGTCAAATTCAAAAGCTAAGTGAAATACGAAACTCGGGACTTGAATAGGACAACATATAACGTATCTTCTTAAAAAATAATTAAAGTTATTATTAATATTTTTCAGTGTTTACAAACATTTTTTAAAAATTCAGTGCAGCAATATTTAATACTTTCACGATAGCTTTTAAGAGAAGTATTCCATAGTATGTTGTTATTGTAACATTGTGATTTTTCGATCTTAGGATACACTAGTAGGCTAGAAATGAGCTAAAACACGTTTAGCATTATTAAAAATTGATCTATTTTTAGAGTGCAAATCAGTAATTTCGTATTATTAAAAAAATTTGTATATATAGGGTGTCCAGACTAGGAGATATATCGTGATCCTGGACTTTCTTTGAAGGATTCTAAAGTTGTACAACACCATCTAATTTCAAATTTTTATTCCTAGTCGTTTCCAAGATACAAGTTACGATTTTTGTAATTTTAAAAAATTGATTCAATTAATTTTGTTTAAAATTACTATTTTGGTAAGAATCGATAAAAAATTGTAGTACTTAATGAAATAAAACAGGAATAAAACTACGGTTTTGAAATTAAATTTGAACAACGTACATTTTTACATATTACAAATATGTAAAAGAATGATCTTTAAATTGCTGATCTTGGGGGAGACTAGGAATAAATATTTGAAATTTGGTAGTGATGCATGATTTTACACGTCCTTCAAAGGATCCCAATAAACTGGATTACCATTAAAGTCATCAACGTCATAATATCTCCTAGTTGAGACACGTTGTATAGTTACATTTTTTTAGTAAAACCAATTTTGTATTTGGTATACCGAATTTATTTCAAGTTACATTACACGCACTACATATTTGTTTTCAAAAAGCAGTTGATGTAGGTATCTTTTAAAAAGTTAAAATGACCTTGAATTTATGATGGTGTTAATCAAATAAAAAATAGTTGTCAATTTTACTTTCAAATAAAAAAATGACTGAAACGTTTTAAATAACTCAACGGTACAACTTTTGAATTAATAGGTTTTTCTACTACACAAGCACTTGGGGGTTACATGGGGAAATTTAAAGAATTCTATTTTCTTTTTGTTTTTTTATGTAAGTAATGTACATGTCAAGAATATTTTTCCAAAATTTCAAGTCAATCGGAGAGGAAGAGAGAGAGAGAGGGGAGAGGGGAGAGGGGGACAGGGGGGAGAGAGGGGGTGATAGGGAGGGAGAGGGAGCGAGAGAGAGAGAGAGCAGGTGCTTAGCTATTGTTAATCTGTCTTTCTCGTTCGCTTTCTCGATTTCCGAGTGTTACCTTTATTAAATATTTTAATTTTATGGAACTGGAATCGACAATTCTATGTAAGTTAAAAAAGGAAAAATTCTCCGTTTTATTCCTACTTAATACTTTAATAGCTTTTTATTTTTTAAAATTTGTTTGTCAACGATTTTTTGCAAAAAATTTTTCTTTTAAATTTTTTAAATAAGCCATTTCGATGGGAAATTCAATTATCTAAATAATTTTTCCTATGAACTATACTGAAATTTTGCTTCGTTTTCGTGCTACATTTAAAAAAATGTAAAATTGTATTTTCTGCCTTATTTTCAATTTCAACCCTCTAATTTAATAGCACCCCGCGGCTTTTCAATTTTTTAATGACCCTTCGAACAAGTCATGTGATGAAAATCCTTGAACGAATCCTTCCTTTTTTGCAAAAAATGAGAAAAAATTACTGTACGTCTTTTTTTTAAGGAAATTTTATCTACTGTTTTTATGAAGTAATGCCTATACCCATCTTTACTCAAAAAAAAACTAGAGGCAAAAAAGTAAAGAAAATAAAAAAATCGAATTTTTTGCTTTTTTTCAAATTGTTTATTAACGATTTTTTTTGCATAAAATTTTCCTTTTAAATTTTTTAAATAAGCCATTTCGATGGGAAATTCAATTCTCTAGAGAATTTTGCCTATGAACTATAGCGAAATTTTGCTTCGTTTTCGAGCTACAATTAAAAAACTGAAAGGGGTACATTTTCACCCCTATCTCCAATTTCCACTCTCTAATTTAATAGCACTCCGCGGTTTTTTCATCTAAAATGACCTTTTGCACGATTCATGCAATAAAATTGCTTAAACATCATAACTGTTTTTTTTTTTATATAATCAATAGCCTATTATTTTGTAAGGTGTAGATTTCATCGATAATAATTGTACTTTTTTGCATACAACTCTACCAAAAATTCAAATTTCATTTTTTTCTTTAATCCTTCGTTCAATCAGTAGCCATCATAAGTAGATAAAGCTATCATGAACGTGAAAATAATTCTTTTTTATATTAAAAAAATATTACGGAGAATATGTTTTTTTTTAATCTTCGAAACCCATGTAACCCCTTGACGTTCCTTATTTTCCTGATTCCTCAGGAATCATAAAATAAATAGAGCAGCTTTAAAAGTGCCATATAAAGCAATTAATAATCATAGAACTCATCTCAACCGACCTCCAACACGTAAAAGTCCAATTACATCCCTTTTCCGGTTTTAATAAAAACCTCGAAAGGAACTTTTAACCGCTCACCCCTTTAGCGGAACTAGAACGAAATTTCCTGCAAAAACACAAAGGCAATTCAACGACGCACGGCAATAGCGATGCATGCAGTAGTAACCTTTTGTTTGCTTCTCCGCAGGACGGCCGACTTCAAAGCGGAGACCACATCCTGCAAATAGGCGAGGTGAACCTCAGGGGGTTGGGCTCGGAGCAGGTGGCGTCCGTTCTAAGGCAGTGCGGAGTCCACGTTCGGATGGTTGTGGCCAGGCCGATTGAATGTGCGAATTCTGATTATCAGGTAGGTCGTAAGGGGGCGTTTAGATGAGCTCCAGATGTTAGGATACACATACGAATGCTATTCTTATGAAGTAGTGTTTTTTACAAAAATAAGTAATTTTAAACATTTGAACACGTTAAAAATAGTCAATACGTAAGAGTGCTAAGTGGTTTATAATACTCGCTATGTGTTAAAAATAGCCACCAATGTTTCAATATTATTTATTTATTTATTTATTTATTTATTTATTTATTTATTTATTTATTTATTTATTTATTTATTTATTTATTTATTTATTTATTTAGAACCTTAGCTAAATTTAAAAAGAAAAAAGACAAACTAACATTAAATATTAAGATACAGGTTCGGAAAGTCACCATGGTACATCGGCCGTTACGTGAGAGCGATAAAGTAAGTCATAGAAATCCGTGCGATAGACAAGGATCGTTACATTGAAGACGTTTCATAATCTGAATAGTCACTCCCACTTCTAACCCGAAACGGTCGGTGACTATTCAGATTATGAAACGTCTTCACTATAGCCATCCTTGTCTATCGCACGGATTTCTTTACTTTACTTTGTCGCTATCATGTAAAGGCAGATGGACCATATGGATTTTCCAGCCCTGTATAAGTACTACACAAACTAGAGCAATCAAAATATAAAATCCAAACAAAAGAACTTAAGGATAAACAATAACAGACATATGAAACAAATAAGCTAACTAACATATAAGAATTACATATGCAAACAATTTTTTATGTTATTCATAGAATGAAAAGACATATCAAGTCGATCTTCATACTTTTGATAATTGTAAATCTTTGATATAGGGGAGATGTTATTAGTAAATTAGTACGAGGTGTACTATTGTAAAGCAGAGTGAAATCTAGATTTAAGTTTAGGAACATGATATAAAATCCTTGAAACTAACGAGTCTGCATTTTAAAGTAGGTATTATTTATAATTTTAAAGAGGAATATAATTGAAAACATAGTTCGCCTACGACAGAGACTATTAAAATTAAAACAAGAAAGCAATAATTCTTGAGGTGTACCACGAGGAGGATACCGAGAAGAATGAAGAATGTGGTCTGCTCTACTATATTTAATATTGGCAGAGAAATCCAAAATTCAGTAGAAACGCTACGTAGTGTTAATTTTAATTTCATTAGAAGATTGCAATGTTGTGAAAGATCCGACGGAAGACATTTTGAACACAATATCGTGTAGTGTTTTTTATTTATATATTAACTACTTTTGAGTTTTAGTTTAAATTATTAAGCATTAAAATGACACACGCCTCCTATGTGTTTTTATTTATTATGATTACCAGTTTGTAAGGGTGATAATTGAAAAGAAATATTTTTTTTTACTCGAAAGACCAAGAAAAGTTTCTAAATTCATAGAGCCTCAAAACCGTAATTTTAATTTTGATCCATAGCCATTTAGAAAAAAGTTCTGACCAAAACAACAGGAAGGGTTTCAAAAACTTCGAAGTGAAGGGTGCAAATAAAAATTTATTGCTAAAACGTAGTTTCGTCAGTAGAACATACGTACCAAATTTCAAAATTTTAGGTTAAGCCGTTTTTGACAAGAAATGAAAACCGAATTTTTGGTTCACCCCACAAAGCGAATATCTCTGCAGGGAGCAGGGAGTGCTCAAATCGAAAAAAAAGAAAAGTTTGGTTATAGACATTACGCGAATAATTTCAGAAACTGCACGTAAAACAGATACAAAGATTGAGTTACGTTACACAAGCACAAGGGTTGGATTTCAGTCAAATTAGCACGTTTCAACGTTTTAATTAATTTAATTACTGTATTTATGTAAGAACATAATTATAGAAAACAAGACTCTGAAGACCTTATTATTATTAATTTGACAGGTGTACTATATTTTAATGGATATGTTGTAACTAATTTTAATTCAAATTGTAACCTTTAAAAGTATATACAATTTCAAGATGTAATTGTAAACATTTTTTGAAATATATGCACATAAATGTATATAGGTATAACTACACCTAACCGAAAATGGCGGTAAAAAGGAATCTTGATAATGAAGCAAATTTGCATCCCATACTTTGAAAATCCAATTAGGATTATTTCAGTCTTATAAATTCGAGGATTTACATGAGACATATTACAGCCATAATATGATTTCAGTTTTAGGATTAGGTGAATTTCGTTTAAAATATTTTAAAATAATGATAATATAAATGATACCTTGTGATGTCCTACTAAGAATTAAAACAAACAAAGAAGATAAACTCTTAATTGACGAAAATATTATAAACACAATAATTATATAATATGCTTTTCGGTATGTTAATGTTATTTTATGTCAGAATTATAAATGTAATAATACAGATCTAAGTAATTGAAATTAAATAGGAAATTTACTGAGGAACACATGTAAATTGGAGTTAGATCTGCCAGGATCTTGGAAACTATGAGAGATAGAAGAACAGAAAAAAATTCTAGACCATCCTATGACTAATTTAATGGTGCTCTCAGACAGGCATACGCCGTTTTGGCTTCTGAGATATTTTGAAAAAAGAGATAATCTATTTTTCACAATTTGCTGCAACTTTTTTATTATAAATTTTTAATAATTGGTGCAAACATTATAACTTTTTGTCTTGTCTTTTTCGACATGTTATTGATTTTTTGCGCTTGTTATATTGTTGAAATGTTAAAAACAATACTAGTTTTGTTGAGCATAGATCCAGTTCAGTATGGTGCTGTTGAGAACACAAAGTCAGTGATGATTTCTTGCGAGTCAAAACGTTGAAATTAGACCTTTCATTTAATTTTTTGTAATAAGTTGACTAAGTATAACGACATTTCTTCCGATCAAAATGTCCACCACCATTTTCGATGCACGAAAGACATCTTCGAATCCAATTTTTGCGCACTCGCTGGAAAACACCTCAAGAAAAGGAAATAGTGGTACACAGAAAACACTCCGACACGGTCGAATCCAGATACCAACTGATTTGCGTATTGGTGGTTGCTGGACACCTTAGTATCTCGTGTTAGTAAACCGCCGCGCCGTTGCCACATTGCTCGATATGAATTTTATCGAATTTTAAATTTATTACAACGCTAATTATTTTTTAGAATTAAACATGAAGTTCTAAACGGTGATAAACATTGTATTTTATGGTGCTCTATGCACGCAGTTATGTCAATATTCCTTAATTCATCGACCATTTGTACATCAAGTTGGAGATTTTGATAATTGTTGAGTTTATTTTAACGTATTCTATCGTCTGTTAAAATTAAGACAGTCAAACTTCTAACACCCTGTATATGTACTTTTACAGAGGCCTGCTTATATTTATTCTTGCTGTTTTCGTTTACCTAAATAACTACATCCTAATTTGATTGGCATAACGAAATGAATAAATATTGTCGGTCTACGGATACAGAACGTGATACGAGTTAAACATATCATTATTTACGTTCGTGTTTAACGTTTCCTATTTTCTAACGCAGCAGTTTTGACTGATTTATTCATCGAGTCGAATTTTTCAGGGCATTTCGGCAGATTTAACCGAGTTTCCGCCACATTTAACTAGTAACATTCTTGAATCACTAAATCACAGCTCTCAGAATACTGGGAAAATAATTTGCCTATATCAAACATCTGCTAGTTTGTTTCATATTTTCCACGGGATCGTTGTTTATGGAAACTGGGAGAAAACTTCAAATTTATGGGACTCGGATATTAAATTTGAATGAATTTTGTTCTTGTTTTATCGCTGGAGTTTTACTTAATTTTCCAGCAAGTATTGACCCAGTCTAGTTCGTAGGAATAATTTATGGCCGAGACACCGAAATCGGCAGAATAGTACTTTAAAATTTGTTTAATGGAACGTTAATTCTAAGGTATATAATATTTAAGGGGTGTAGGGTAAAGATGCCTATTATGAGACACCTCTTTTTAAAAAAATCGTAGTTTTTTCAATTTTAACATTTTTCTTGGAAAATTAACGTTTTTCTGTAGGGAATTTAATCTAGATTCTTCAAAAAAACGCGAGAACGCCTCAAATTTGTATTTTAGTTTTTAAGTTAGATTTTATCAGAAAAGTAATATTTGCCTAATCGAAAAAGAGGTTCCCAATTTGAGACAGTATGGGTTCTCAGTATGAGACTATCTCAAATTAGGGAATAAAACTGAAAATGACCTATTGCTTGCTCAAACATATATTTATTGAATAAACAGAACATAAAACATGTTTAGGTATGGTTTTCTCAAAAACAAAAAATATTTTTTTCTTTAAACGAAGTAACATTTTCTCTTAAAACAACGAATAGGTAATTCTGTGAACAAAATAAAAAAAAAGTTTAGGTTTTCAACCTTAACAACAAACGGTACAAATAAACTTTTTTGATTTTATTTCTCCACATTCTAGATGTGCCCATTTGAAACAGGCCTGGCATTTCTCTCACTTTTCACCTCGCGTATCTTCGGAATACAAACCGGCGCAATATGGACACTCTGCATCGTCTTCCTCGTCTTCTGAAGACAAATCCGTGGTGTGCGAAACAGTGTCATCATCTTCACTGGACGTTGATGATTCAGTAAAAACTTTCCTTTTCACACGCCTTTTCCCAGTTTCTATTCCTTTTGCAGCACTTTTCCTTGGCTTTCTTTGTTTTTCCTTTTTTTTGCCTCCTTTTCTTTTTTTCTCTTCAAAGCTTCTTCTATTTGTAGTTTGTACGGAGAAGATTGCGAGTTTAGTATTGAAGGTCTAACGAAAAACCTTTGTTTTGCTCATTTATACTAGTTACCCAGTAGTGAAAATGCTTTACCTTCATATGCGATGGCTTGTCCCGTAATATGAGGTACCTCATATTAGGAGCTCTCAGGTGTCTCATACTAGGGTCTTAAGAAATTTTATTCAGTTTTAGGTTAGTTGGTAAAAGCATGAAAAAAATTTACTCAACGGCATGATACATAGCTACTACGTCATGTTAGCTTTATGTTAATGATAAACAACACCGTCTTG